ATTGTATCATACACCTCACTGGACTGAATTTACATGGTCTCTTGGAGTTCCTTGGGCTAGGCCTGACACCACCCAAGCTACAGGAGACTTGGGTGGCTGTTCTCCTCCAGACTGAGACAAACCACTCCAGATCTCAGAAAAGAACAAACAAGAGCCTTGCAAGGGCTATGGAACTAGGCCAGCTCCCCACCCTTTCCCAGCATGCATTCCAGCCAGTGTCCCTTTAAAATTTAATAAGCTTCTCATAGCATGTCTCAGTGCAGCTTCTGATAAGATATTCACCCTGGCAATTTGCTTCCAATCTCCTCCCTCCCCTTTGTTTTCCATTCTTGTCATGTGAGACTCCCTCCCAACGCACCCTCCCACCAAACCTGTCCTCCATCCAAGATAGGTCAAGGAAACCACCTGATCACTCACTGGGCCTGTCCCTTTCCTCTGCCCCACAACCACCCCATCTTCCTCTCTTCTCATATACACACATGCAAACACATTGTACAAGCAGCCTCTGGGACTTAACTTGATAATTACAGAACAGGGTGTAATTTAGGCTTCAGGCTGCTTGTTTAGCAAAATCAACCACTGATGTTTGGGATAATGTAACCTACAGTATTTCCTGTTGACTCAGAACAGAACAAAGGTCTGGCTCTGTACTTGATTAAAAAAAAAACTTGTTTTCCTTGGTAGGAAAGTTTATAATAACAGTGTCATGGCTGGCATCTGAATGGGAAGAATCATGCCACAGTTAGAAAGACTCTGCTGGAAGGAGGGGCGCATTCCATGTGCTTGAACACTTCCCTCTACTGAAATTGATGGAAGTTTGTGTTCCCCTATCTTCTGTAGTAGGATTTGCATCAGGCTACACAGGCAATTCAGCTGCCATTAGCTGATCATAGGAGTTTGGGAAGGAAGCTGACTTCAGCTTAAGTCTTAGGCAAAGATTTCTTCCAAGTTCCCCATCTCCCTTATATAAGAAAACTCTTATGTTCCAAGTTAGCTTTTCATCATTCAAGGTGGCAACAGCAGGAGGACTTCCTATCACAACCACTTCAAGTGTTAAAGACCATAATGGCTGCATTCACATAACGTGCTAAGCTAACTTCATTTTAAATGCAGTGAAGGGCTCTTTTGCGGCTTGCTGGTTGAACCCAACACGTTTACGAATGCAACAAAGTTATGAGTCAAAATCTGAGTCATTTAATCATAAATGAAAATGGGTTAATTCAATAATCAAGCATGTTATGCAAACTCACCCAGGTCATACTGCTTACCAACATGGAGATTAAACTATGGTAAACCATGGAGGTTGCCCATTGCAGGGCGGGCTGCTGATAATACAGAATAAATAAACATAAATAAAAAATATGCTTTTTATTTATGTTTATTTATTCATGTGAACAAAGTAATATAGACTGAGTGCTGAGAAATGAGAACTTTCCATATCAAAAGCAAAAACTTGGTGAAAGATATATAGATAAATGTGCAACGATGGAGGCAGATGACAAAGAAACACACAACAATGATGATATAAAATAATAATCTCGTTATTGTTAGAACATTTATCCAGTGGATAACAGAAAAGCAAAACAAAAGAATTACCCAGAAAAAAAATCTTCAATTTCTCAGCCCACGGTTTTTTAAAAGCTGAGTGTGATTCATTCATCCCAAAATAGGTCCAAAGTGTCAGGTATCAACTGATTTTACAAAAATGGTTTTTGTGACAAAATAAGACCACACAAGCATGTTTGGCAAGGAAAAAAATGCTTATTATTTATGTTGTCTGTTTTATGGTTTTAATTGTTAATACGTTTGTACACCGCCCAGAGTCACGTTTCATGAGATGGACAGCTATATAAATCTGATGATAGATAGATAGATAGATAGATAGATAGATAGATAGATAGATAGATAGATAGATAGATAATTAGGAGCTTTTCCTCTTTAATGCTCCTAATACATGACACTGCCAGCCAGAAGAGGGTTTGATAAGAATGGCAGTTTCTTTTAAAAAAATAAAGAGATTTTGAATTTGAGACTACATTCTATTTACGTTTTCTTAAGAACACAATAGGATTGTATCATACACCTCAGCTTAACAGGCACCATCGCCCCAAAGCAATATAAGTATATTTCTATAGGATTTCACACTGACTTACAGAACCCAATTTCCGGGAGGAGGGGAGAGTGTGAGACAAAGTATAATTCTCTATGTAGAAGTAGGACTGTCAAAAATCAAGTTTAAATTCCCACTCAGCCACAAAAGGTCACAGGGGAATTTTGGGCTACTACACCACCTGATTCACACATACTGCTTAAAATATAGTTTATGTACTGAATAAACCACAAGTCAGTCTATAAAGCACGACTTATAAACCCACAATGGCTAGGTTCACACAACATACTAAGCCAAAACTGAAAAAAGCCAGGTTGTGTGAACTCAGACAATTCATCCTGCTCTACCTCTCTGGTGTATTCTGAGGATAAAATCAGGGAAGTAGAACAGCATACTTGTAATCCTGAGTAAATATATACAACAGAGAGACCCTTAAGAACCATTTGCTGGCAAAAGTCAAAAGAAAACAAACGGTGTAGTGGCTAAGGCACCAGGCTAGAAACTGGGAGACTTGGACAGGACACAAAGCCAGCTGGGTGACCTTGGGCCAGTCACTCTCTTTCAGCCCTAGGAAGGAGGCAATGGCAAACCACTTCTGAAAAACCTTGTCAGGAAAACTGCAGGGCCTTGTCCAGGCACTCACCAGGAGTCAAGATTAACTGGAAGGCACAAAAGGAAAAACAAGTAATTCATATCTAGGGGATGAGTAAAGCCTGAAAAACTTTGTAGAGCAGGCTATCATGATTACGAAGTGGTGGTAGATTTCTGTACCGGTCTGAATTCCTTGGTAGACTTTAGCTCCAAAGCTTCCTTCTTAGCCCAGAGGCTAAAGGAAAGCCCCAACCCATTTTGCCAAAGGAGCAGCAACCGAATTTGTTCTTCCTCTACAGAAATCATGACACGTACCCTCTGTTGCAAGAGTTAAAAGAACTCACTCCAAAGGCTTTGGGAAAGAAGTGTGCAAGATACATGGGGAGATGGGGTGGAAAGAAAGCAAAAGGAAGAAATTCCAGCAGCAGCAACAGGGATGGTGAAGATGATCATCTGGCACAGGACCTTTAACAAGGGACAATCAACTCGGTGCGCAGACAGAAGCTGTCACCTCTGTACCACCAGCTCCTTCACAACTCTGATCCAACTGTGCATCATATATTCTTTCCTCGTGCATATATACAGAACCTCTTGGGACTGCAGAGAGGAAAGATCATCAGACCCATCGTTCTTCTGTTCCCCTTTCTATTTTAGTAGCTCTTTTGCCCCAGGGCAGCCAATTCATTATCTGCTTTGTTCTCAAGGACCTGTACTTCAGGCTCTGTAATCATGACACCCAGATGCTCCAGCGTCCTGCTGGGCTTCCAAGGCCTTAATTCTTCCTTCTCTCTTTCAGACTCAGTTGGCGGCTTGCTTCTCATTTGCTCCTTCTCTGTAGCTCCAGCACCTGTCCCAGCCTGTCACGCCATCCTCCCTTGGTCATGTCCTTAGCTCTCAGCTTACTAGATTTCTAAGCTAGTAGCAAGCTCAAATCTGCCTTGCTATCTCTTAAAGAGAAAAGTAAGTGTTCCCGGAAGCTGCCCCAGTCTTCTGTTGCCAAGGAGACCAGAGAATCTCCAGGGGAGCCTAACTTGTTTCCTAGCAACTGAAGAGCTAAAATCCCCCCCCCCCCCGCCCACCGCACCTATTTCGAAGGAG